CATTATTCTCAAGACGTAATCTTAACGAAATGAATGTTTGTTCTCATTAATTATGTAATTATTTGTTTGTCGGTTAAAATTAAATTTGTCACCATTTTATAAAACCACATACCTAAAAAAGAAGCGCAAAAGAAAAAAAAAAGAAAAACGAAATAAAAAGGAAAATAAACCAGTTTGACTTTAATTTTGACTTGTTTTTAAATTTCTATCAAATACATAATTATATTTAAATCGTCCACTTTTTTTTTTTTTTTTTTGATGAAATCACCAAGAGTTATTTATTAATTAGTTAATTAATTATATTTGCAATGGATAAATTAAAAAAAAAAGATGCATAAAATTATGATAGTTTAAATAAATAAATGGATAAAACACTATTAAATATACTAATATACTAAAATGTGCAATTTTACGTAAAATATTTACGTGATAGGATTGATCTGAGAAATCATTACAAAAGTAATTAATATTCGAGAATAAAAAAGAAAAAAAAATCCATGATAGATGATCATTGAAAATATCAAGTAAATTACGTGAAATTTGACGTAATCACAAAGTCATCATTTTTTTTCCTCACTTTACCGACAAAAAAAAAAGTTAAAGATGTGAATGAGTTACATCCATTGATGACAAAATTCAAAATAAAGTGAACTAGTAGATTAATCATTAAAATGATCAATTTATTAAAATGTAATCAATTTTAAATCTATCAATTGTTGTGATAAATTATATCAACAAAAAGGATGAAAAATGAGAAATAATTAATAATGAATTAAATTTAAATAAAGAAAAAGAAAGTTACTTAAAATTAATTTCATTACATTTTGTAATCATTTCATTTCTCAAATCTTTCACTCATTCTTTATTCTAATTTTATTTCTTTTTTCTTCTTTCTTTCTTTAGTCACAACAAATTTTGCCTTTTTCTTCTATTTCATATGATCATTTTGTTTTTTTTTAAATTTTCCTTTTTCTTTTGATATTTTCTCTTTCAGAAATTAACGTTTTGTTTTGTTTTTTTTTCTCTTTTCTAGGTAACTTTTTTTTTTCAATGATTGATAAATTTGTCGAAGATTTTATATAATTTAAATTTTTTTTGTTTTCTTGATGATTTCAATAAAAATTTCCAATAATTTTAGTAATATTTATCATATTGCATGATAAAATTTATCATTTGAAAATGTTGAAATTGAAGAATGAAATGAAATGAAATGAAACTTTTTGTGGCTCAAAACATTTCCTGATTATTTGAATTGAAAATGAATCAAATTATATGCAATACCTTTTTCCCCTTTTTAAATATCTGTTGAAATGTAATTTTATAAATTTAAAATATTACTCAACAAGGTAACTTTTTCCATTTAAAAATTAATTTTTATCCTTTTGTTTAAAAAAATTCCAAAATCGATAAATGATTAAATGAGAAAAAAAAAATCCATCACAAAGAATGATAAGAAATGATTACATTTGTTTTCCGTTTTTTTTTCCTTTTAAATTGAAAATGGTGACTTGAATTTTCACGTCATCACTTCCATCTTACCCCCTTTTTCACGTTTCTCTTTGTTAATTTAATTAATTCCATTTCCATCCTTACTCTATTCTTCCAACTCATTTCACTTCTCACTTTATGTTAGTTTAATTTAATTAATTGACTTTTTAAACCAATTACTTAATATGAAGCATTATGTAGGATTAAAATTGTTTTGGAAATTCTAAAATCGTTGGATGATTAAATGATAAAATTCATCAAAAAGAATGATATCAAATCATTCCAACCGGTTTCACATATTTATCAAATCATTTCATTGGATTTGTCATTTATATTTAGTAGCATTAATCATTATATTGCTATCATTCATTGTCTTCTCTTTAATTAGCCAAATATTGTTTTGATTATATAATTTATCAAATTATCATTGAATTACAATCGATCACATTTAATTCATTCTTTTTATCATTTCCTTCAATTGATTTCAAAAATTTTATTTATTTTTAAATTATTTTATACTTTCTTCGTTTCTCTACCAAAATTAAGCGATTTAATTGGAATAATAAATGAAAAAACAAATATCATGCATGGAATTTTTTAAGTAATTAATTCTTGTTTATAAAACATAAAATTTAAATTCATATATCCGCCATGTTAGTCTAGTTGTAACTTGAGGAAAAAAAAAATCAAAACTAACTTATTGCAATGATAATTTTTATATGAGAAATGAAAATTTTAAACTCTTTTATCCATTTCAAATTTATTCGCTTCTTTTCATCATCTCTTTCCTTTTTCATTTTCATCTTTATCTTACTGTAATAATATTTAATATAGCAATATTTGATAGGGTTAATAGTACTGGAAATGAATTTCCATTTTGAAATTGTTAAATTTCAAAATTCAATCATCGATATTCAATCTTTCTCGTTCCTACGGGTATTGGTAAAATTTTTGGGGATAATACCAATAAAAATTTATTTTACTTTTAATGAGGTTTTTGAAATGAACCAAACTAATTATCAGTTCATTAACAAATACACAGGAACTTTTGCGCATTAGTATTTATTGATTTCTTTCTCTGCGGTATTTCTTCCCGATATTTACTGCATCTCCAAGATATTTCATTGATTGATTTAAACTGATCAATTTTCTGCCTACTGATAAATTGTAATGATATTTGGAGAATATATATATATATATATATATTGAAATTTGGCATTAAAAATTTTTTTGGAAATACTTTTAAATTATAAACGAATAAAATGAGGAAAGATTTGTCAAATTTGTTAATTTCTCTTTGTCAATTCTATTTGAATGAATTCATGTAGAGGAGCAATTATTTTCAAATACTCATCAAACACCATTTCAAATTATATTTTAATTGTAATTTTATAAATTATTAAAATTTGCTAACATGCTAAAATGTTCTTTTAAATGAGAAAATTTTATGATTGCATCGAATGAATTTGGTACTACATATCATTTTTATCACTTGTCACTAATCCAAAACGTTGTTATCATCTTCAGATTAATGATAAGTGATAAAAAAATTATCTGCAACATCATGCATAAAACAATTGCTTTATTATCTTTCGATTTTTAGTTTCTTTCTTTTTTTCTACCTAACCATTGAGAAAAAAACTATTATCACTGTTAAATGATAGTATCATTGGATAAAAAGATTAGAAAAGCTCATTAAACATTTTCTATTACATCATTTTGTTGAATTTCATTTTTTGATTATCTTTTCATTTCTTCCTTTTTTTCTTTTTGAATATAATAAAGCATATTATTCCAATTCAAGTAATTATTTAATTTTAGGTTTTTTAATCAATTTTAAATGAATTCTTCAAATTCAAATTTCGTCCACTTTTGCCTTTTTTTTTCGGAAAATTAAACAAAAAAAACAAAAGATTTCTCGATTTTGTTTCATTTGCAATTATTGTCAATTCCTTTGTTTTTGTTTTTTCTTTTTCTATTTTTATATAATCAAAAAATTTTCTTTGCTTTGCATAATTTATTCATAATTTAAGCATATTTTAGCAATCCATTACTTAATTAACATTTAATCATTCTTTATTTAATTATTATTCCTTTATTTAATTATTATAAAATTTGATATTATTGAATTATAAAAATATTAGTTCATATTATCATTCAGTTTATTCATTGTTTCATTTTTTATTTTTACACTGTTTTTGGTTCATTTTTTTTCTTCTTTCTTGAATTTGTTATAAATACAGTCTATTAGTAATGGAATAACTAATAGAATACAGTAATGCTTTAAGTCTGTTTCCATAATTATGGGGTTAATTAATTCCTTTATAAACAAAATATCCCATTAACATTATAACACTTTTAATTTATTTCAATCTATTGCAAACAATTAAGCAATTTGCGATATATTAAATATTCATTCGTTTTAATTAGCTCAAAAATATTTATTCGGGAAAAAAATTACTTCTCTTTTTAAGAGAAAATTGCAAATTTTAATTAATGAAATTAAACAAAAAAGAGGCAGAAGAAAAGCAATGAAATTGAAAATTAAATGAGTAATCGACAAAAATGTATGAATGAAAAGGAAAACATTTAAAAAATATGGTAAGACAAAATGAATTTAACAAACAACTTCCATATTTTTACACCAATTTCACATCTAAAAATATTGCTTAAAACTATAGCACACACCCACACACACCTCACACACACACACACACACACACACATATGCTTACATACATGTGTACATGTATATTTATATGTATGTATATGTATATATATATAGATTTCTTTTTAACTTTTGTTTTTTTACTTTTATTTTTTTTACTTTTATTTTTATTTTTGTCCTTTACTTTTCATTTTTACTTTTTTTTCACATATATGTACATAATTAAATCCTTTTTCTTAACCTAAATGAAGCAAATTTTTAGAAAAAATAAATAAATCAAATTTAAATTTTGTTTCCAATTTTTTAATTTAAATTTTAGTATTGGAAAAAAAACTTTGAAGTGCTATAAAACATGAGAAAAAAAGATTTCTCATAATTAATTCCGGTTATTGTATCTGACCGGTTTTTAATTTTTATCTTCATTTATTTCTTATAAACTATCAAAAAATATGATCACATTTTTTTTTCCTACTGTTTGATGATACAATGCATCTCTGTAAATGAAGTGTCGTATTCCACGAGATTGTCACGTATTACACGTACAACGTACGTGTATATCATCTACATAATGATGATAGACAAATAAATATATATTTTTTATACTTGTTTACTTTTATTGTTAGTTTTTACACTTTTTTCTTATATACTTTTTTAATATTGTTATTAAGTGATGCTTTTCTTACTTAGACATAAGTTATGCCAACTAAGTAATGTGCATAATAATAAATATTAATGGTAATATATTGTAATACGCGTAAAGTAACACACGTACTTTATAGAATTTTTCACGTTAAGAATGAAATGACGTAATGTATCTCACGGGATTTTTCACGTTTGAAATGGAAAACTACCTATTTATAAAAAGAAAAAAAAAGAAACTCGGAAATTAATCGTATTAAATGGCGTAATATGTATTCAGTCCAAATTACACATTCAAATATTGAATTCTATATTTCCGGATTTTTCATGTGAATCGAAGAGGATCTATGTCAACGAATTGAAATCAAGTCAAATATTCCGTATCAGTTCAAACCGGAAAAGTTACTATTCGCTGTAAGATAATAATTTGAAATTATTTATTTGATTGGAGCAACAACAACAATCAACAAACAAATCATTAATTAAGTTGATCAAAGGCAATGATTTAATGATAAGAACTATATGCATTTTTTCGGTCCGTTTTTATTATTCACTCATCTAAAATCGAATAATTCTTGATTTTATTTTGCATACATTGCAAAATTTCATATTTTCCGGAAACATTAAAAAAAAATGATACCGGAAATTTAAGTAAAAATTTTCATCTATGCAAAATAACTTCTATTTATCAATTTTTATTATTGAAAATTTATTAAAAATTTTTTTTCAAATCAATATTTTTCTTTCTTTTTTTCGTTTTTTAATGATTTTTACAGTATCATATAATATTGTTTAGAAAAAAGAATAATTATCATAATAAATTAACTTCGAATAATTCAAAAATACCTAACCAGTTTTGCCAAAAAAAGCAAAGAATAACTATGCACACAATATATTTTCTAAAGTTAATATTACTTTTATTTGCTTACTTTTTTTCCTTTCATCAAATAAATGGTAAAATTTCTTTGAAGTAAACGTAAAAGTAAAAGTAAAAATAAAGGTAAAAGTAAAAGTAAGAGTAAAATTATTTTAGATAAAAGACAAACCATTGGTGAATAAAAGATAAACTTTTTTTAAATATCTTTTTCATTTCACAAATGAAAAGTGATATGTTGAAAAAGTTATGAAATGCAATTAATGAAACTTTTTAGTAGTTATTTATGATGTCAATTATAAAATTTTACACTTTTTATTGTCAGAATTTTCAATTAATGAACAAAAAAAAAAAGAAAAAAACATTCATATTATTCCGGAAATGTTGTAATTCGAAAACTTGTCTTCTGATAGATTCATATTTTCCACCTTAAATATTGCATTTCAGGTTTTTCATCCGGTTTTCGTTTAACTTTTATTATTCGTACCTTTTTCTCCTTTTACTTTTCGTTATTTCTTGCTACATTGTTTTATTTAGTTTCTAATAAAACCTAAATTTAATCTAATTATAATTTTACTTAATTTTCGCATATCCTATCATATTACTCGTTTTTTCTTTAAAAAAAAGTTTGTGCTTCTTTTTAAGTTCACCATCTCTGATATTCTTTTTCATTTTATCTTATGATAATATTTAATTTTTTATAACATTTAAAATTGTAATTGATGTCAATTGAAAGAAATAGAATTAATTTAAATAAAAATTCACAACAATTTTTCATATATATTGGAAAATTTGAATGAATTATTTTTTTAAATTAAAATGAAATTCAAGTAAGCTATTAAAATTCCAATTAATATTAATATTGGAAAAAAAGTCTTTCGTTTTTTTCAATTTTTTATTATCAAATAAAATTATATAAACAATAAATTATTATTTCATTGTTTTAGATCATTTTTTTTCCTTTTTTAGCAATTAAGCAAATATGTAAAATTCAACAAATAATTTCAAGGGAATACTTAAGATAATTTGAAATGAAATGCATTAAATTTGAATATTTCCTTTTGCGGATTTCCAGTAAACAAGGTCAAAAATCAAAGAATAAAAAGTTGCTAATTAAACAAATTGAATTAATCACAATTAATTAAATTTATAAGAGTTTTTTCTTTTTTTTTTACAAGTTCTAATGAAAAATATTCCAAACATAAAAAATTTAATTTTGATTATAGTAAAAGGACTAAACTTTTGTCAAATTTGTTTCATTTCATTTATTGCAGAAAAAAAAATGCTTCCTGACATGTTCAAATTATTATTGTCACTCATTGTCATCGTTCATATCACCTATGTGACGTCATTTTCATTACTTTCTCAAGCACCTCTTGATGAACGAAAACGCATGTTTTTTCTTTTCTTTTTTTTTTAAATTCATTTTAAAATTTAATCTTTTGGATTTTTCATTTTTATTTGATTTTTAAAATACAATTTTCCAGGATTTATATTTTCTTTTTATTTTTTGAAATTCAATTCGTTTTGTTATATGCAATAAACGGATGATAGTTGTACAGGTATAGCTGATACTTAGAAATGAACTTGTCATGACAGAAATGACATAAGTCTTGAAAATTACCTGAACAATTTTTGATTGACTTGAGAAAAAAAAAAGCAAAATGGAATTAAGTAAATTGATTAGAAGAAAATCATTGCATGAATTAAATTGAATAATTATTTTAACTTGATACCAGCCTAATTTATTTCAGGCTAATTTTAGATATGGCTTTTTTAAAAGTACGAATTTGAAATTGAATTCCTATTCAGGTGAAAATTTGTGGCGTCGTCATGCAATTGCTAAACTATGGGATGAAAGAAAACGTATGGGAAGAACACCAATCTTTAAGCTTACAGTATGAGATGTATTTGTTGAATTAGCAATTAGTATCATATGTTGATTTATTTTTTAATCTTTAATAGTAAAAGATAGGAATTATTGATTTTTTTTTTTCATTTGATATTCTAAAAGGATATCATTTGCATAGAAAAATTGCATAAATAAGTGTGAATGAAGAAAGAAAAAAAGATAAATAAATTTCAAATATTTTGTATTAAAAAAAAAAAAAAAAACCAATCAAAATGACTATTATTATTATTTTATTTTTTCAAAAAAAAAATCGATATTTGCATATAATAAATTATCCATTATTAATAATTAATTTGCTAATTATTTCCATTCATTTTTTTTTATTAATTTTTTAATCAAATTATGAAAGGTTTTTTTTCTTTTTCTAGAGTCCAGGCTATCAAAATATTGATTTTATATTTAAAAATGAAACAGCATCACGAACGGGTAGCTTAAAGCATCGTTATTCATGGGCATTAATAATGTGGGCTGTTGTTGATGGTAAAATTAATGAAAATACGACAGTTTATGAGGCAAGTTCTGGGAATACAGCAGCAAGTGAAGCATATATGTGTCGCTTAATTGGAGTGAAATTCATCGCTATCGTAGGTTATTTTTTTTTTATAATTTATTTAATTAAGAAAAAGAATTATTTAAAAAACAAATTTTTTTTCAAATATTTAAATTTAAATTTAATTTTTTTTTAAAGCTTTCTTTTCTGTTATTGCAAAACTTATATGTTATATATTATTGGCTACGATGAAATTGTAAATTTTCAAGAAAATTTATTTTCAAATATTTCATTAGCTATTTTTAAATTTTGTAATATAAATAAAAGACTTAAATAGGAGCAATTATTAAATTTAAAAAAAAAAGCAAATATAAAATGCTAAAATCAATATTTTTGATGGAGATTGAGATTAGTTTCTTTTCCTTAGGTTATTTTTTTTGTGGAGTTAGATTTTATGATTGATAAGATAGCATAAATGATAAATATTCCATGTAAGATAATTTACAGGTACCAAATTCAATCGAACAAGTGAAAGTTGAACATATTCAATCATATGGTGGTGAGATAATTAAGACAGATTTAGGTGATCGTTTAATTAGAGCTAGATTAGAAGCTGTACGAAACAATGGCTTCTTTATGAATCAATTTGCTAATTCGGATAGAGCTGAAGAATATCATGAAAGTAAGTGTTATTTTTAGATTGACCAAAAAAAAAAATTAAAAACAAAAATGCATTCCTAAAAATTACCTAAATTTAAAAAATTTTGATTAATTATCACTTTACCATATATTGTATGTACATATATGGAATGAATAAAGTAATGTTTAATGTTTTGTAAAGTAAATATTTGTTATTTTTTATTTATTTAAATTATATTATTTACATACAAAAACTAAATTTAAGTAAATATTATCACTGATAAGAATAATTTCCTAAATTGTAACCACTAAATTATCATTTTATTACAGTTTCATTTTTCTTCCCTGTAATTTTCAAATGTATTTTTCTATATTTTATAATTATATTATAAAAGTTTCTTATAATTTATTGTTTTTTTTTTTGATTTTATCAAATACTTCATGAATTTCATTGCTGCCAACGAATAATTAAATAAAATTTTCAAAATTTTCGCGAGCAATACTATTCATAATTTCAATTACTTCAGGTTTAATTGACTCAATTTTTGTTTACTTTAACTTAATTAATTGAGATTTTGATAATATTTTCGTAAACATGAAAAAAAAATCATTCTTCAAATTTACTATACTTTTTTCGTGTATGAAAAATTAATTTTATCAGTAATTGTCTTGATTATCACATTAGAAAAAAAAATTTGACTTGCTCTTCTAAAAACTTGAACTTTGACATATGTTAATAAGTTGCTTTAGGGAATTGATAAGTTGACAAATTGATCTTCAGGTGGTAATTATCCGTTAGAAAGCGTTAATATAATGCATGAAGTATTGGCGCAAATGCGACAGGATCTTAATCAAACAATTGAAGAGCCGCATTATTTCGTTCATTCTGCTGGAACTGGTCCATTGTTTGATCATTTAACAATTAAACTTTTTTTTAAATTAAATTAAAATATTAATTCAATTCATTTATTAAATGAAACAATTCATTCATTAATTATAGCTTACATTCAATAGTATTTTCATGAAAATACATCTTTATATTTCGGTGAAACTATCGACTATCGTATTTTAAATTTGCCAAGATGATAAAGCACACAATAATAAAATTTAGAGAAACTGCCGTATTTTAATGACGAAGATGATGAAGCATACAGTAATATCTGTTTACTGTAAAATTTATAAAGTATGCCAAGGAGGAGAGAGAAAATGAAGAAATACGATAACACTATGATGTGGCGATATTAACAGAACGAAATTACTTCCCGAACATTAATTTTTCAACTATAAATATTAGTTGTAAGCCTGTAAACCTGAAAGCATTAGGTTTAATTTTAGGTGGAAGAAAAAAAATATATACAACACTAACTCTTCTTCCTTGTTATGTAAACGACTGTGTAATTAATTGATAATTATATAGTTTAGAAAAGTTTTCGTTTCCTTTCTTTATTTTTCAAATCTTTATGAAATTTTGAAATTTAAATTCGGTTACAAATACAATAAAATATCAGTTATTTTTAGTTAACAATTATATCACAAATAATGAAATTATTGCAAATTTGTTTGCATAATTTTTTCGAAATTTTGAAAATTTAATCAAAAAAAATCGCTTTCTTTTTTTGTTTCTAAAATTTGATTAAAAATTCTTAGTGAGAAAAAAAATTTCTTGAAACTATTGAAATTTAAAAATTTCAAATTCATAAAAATAAAAAACACTTATTATTGATATTTGTTATAGGAGGGACAATATCATCAATTGGACGATATGTTAAAAAATATGGTCTAAGAACAGAAGTTGTACTTGCTGATACACAATTTTCGGTATATTATGATTATGTTATGAATGAACGATTTATGAATGAAAGTGGTCGAAATGTATGGATAATACCCGGTATGGCCGGTATCGGATTTGGTGTTATGGGACCGGTTAGACATGGTATTACATCAAGGTAAGAGCTATTTTAACATTTAAGTTGTATTAAACTAAAATTTAGATATAAAATATGATAATATAATTTAATGAATGCTACAAAGGATATTGTTCATTATTATTATTATCACTATTTAGTATTATTTATTCCTACTGTTTTCATTATTTATTATTATTATTATTGTTGTCATTAATATTAATATTAATATTATTATTATCATTATTATTATTATTATTATTATTATTATTATTATTATTATTTATTATTATTATTATTATTATCACTATTATTATTATTATTATTATTATTATTATTATTATTATTATTATTATTATTATTATTATTATTATTATTATTATTATTATT